CATGTTTTTCCTCCAATCTGTTCTTCATAGTTTAAAATCCCTTTAGCACAAGACATTAAAATCGGGCTACCCCAAGTATCCCTGGGTTACATTCCTAACACCACAGAACGGGGGGGGGGGGGGGGGGGTGTGGAAGGGAAGGAAAGTGACTATAGATGAAAACTAATGATTATGACTTTCTTTTAATAAAACTTTTTAAATAAAAGTGTTTTAATAAAAGCAGGGGAAAAAAAAGAATAGTAGAGATAAGTACCAGGAGCTTTGCTCCACGGTCTGGGGGTTTGAAGCCGGCCTCACATGCTGGGGCAAAAGGCAGCTCAGATAGAGAAGCGACCATCAAGTAAAGGGTGTTCGGAGGGCCTGCTCAGGAGGGGAGACGCGTGCCAAAAGTAAACTATAAACCTAACATGCTGGCCATTCAATACTTGCATTGCAGACCACAACACCCTAAAGGAGAGAGAGTAAAAAGGAATGCGCCTGACACAGAGGGGGGTGGGGGTGGAGGGTGGGGGATGGGAGTGGATGGGAAGGATACTGGGAACACTGGTGGTGGAAAACGGCCACTGGTGGAGGGATGGGTACTCAATCATTGTATGACTGAAATGGAAGCACGAAAGTTTGTAAGTCTGTAACTGTACCTCACGGTGATTCATTAAAGAATAAAATTTAAAAAAAATATCGGCTACCATCAAGCTTCTACACTTCAAGTTGTGTTGTTTTTGAGGGCCACACCCACCTGTGCTCAGAGGCCCTGCAGGAGACGAGAGGTTCCGTCCTTGGATGGAACCCCTTGTCTCCTGCATGCAAAGCACATGCTCTGTTCTTTGGTTCTTGCATCTTCTCTAATGCGCCAGGCCAGCATTTCTCACTCAGGGCCATGTGATCCTCAGGAGTGTCCAGGTGAAAACTGTGTAAATAGGTGCCACAGCATGAGATTAGCGGAACAACCCGTAGAGGGGGAAGGCACACATACCAGAAGGAAACAAGGTTGGGTGGGGGCCATCGTGGGAAGAAGGCTGAGAAACAGCAGCTCTAGTCGCCTTTTCGCTATAAATACTTAATACCTCCCGTTTACATCAGGAAACTGAGATTAGAAAAGATTAAAATACTTGCCCCCAGCCTAGCTGGTTGTCGAATGGCTTTGGATCTGGATCCAAGTCTAACTCTAGAGTCTGTATTTTATGGTCCTCTGGGCCCTGCCAGGAGTAAGCCTTGAGCACAGCTGGGTGTGGCCCAAAAACCACAAATAAAATTAAGTCTGTATATCCGCCCCCCCATTACACAGCTCTGCTGGTTGTGAAAGAACAGAGCTGCAGTACAAAGGTTGAGCAAATGATTCCTCACATTTCTTCCAGTGTCTTTGATTCATATTTATAGGGAGGGCTTTTAAGACGGCTGGCTGCAGTCTTCGCCACTAAGGAGGATTTGGTTGGAGCAGGGTGCAGAGGAAGTTCCAAAGCTGGCTTTAAAGGGGTCAAATGTAATCAGCGCCGCCCCACCCCCCCTTGCTTGGTCTGTTTGAGGAGAGATTCAAAGCCTTCCCCACTCTCTCCAGAGGCAGGCACCAGGCATCAGGCACATCTTTGATGCTCGCCTTGGCCAAGCACACTAGCCCCTCACTCAGGGCCCTGGTGTCCAAGAAATCAGTCCAGGCCACTCAACACTGAGGAACAAGAGGTCAGCTGTGTGCCCACAAGCAACTCCCAACTCTCCCGAATTTCCTACATCACAATGTCCTTTTTCTAATCAGCCAATTCACTTTCAGAGAATTAGATAGGAAAGGAGAGGGAGGGGGAGAGAGGGACAGAGGGAGTTAAGAGACAGAGAGAGAGAGAGGGAGAGAGAGAGAGAGAGAGACAGAGACAGAGACACAGAGACAGAGACAGAGACAGAGACACCGAGGGATAGTACAGACTTATCTGGGTTCAATCCCTGGCACCCCATATGGTTCCTCCAAGCCCACCAGGAGTGATCCCTGAGCATAGAACCAGGAGTAAGCTCTGAGCAGTGCTGGGTATGATCCCAAAAACAAATAAACAAAGAAAGAGAAAAGGGAAAAAAGCCCCGTAGACCATGAATAAACTAACTCAAAGAAACTGTTTTTCTCAGATGCATCTTTCCCTGGACAACTGCCACTGTCTTTTCTCAGAGACCAAGCTGCTGAATCATCTTACTGTCTGCTGTTTCACTGAGGGAGGAAACCAGAGATGTCCCCTGCAAGGACAGGAATACCAGCTTCCAGGAGGAGGTCAAAGTCAGACAAGGTTGAGAGAAAAGTCATTCCCAGGCAAGGGGAAATCTCTTAAGTGGCCTCTTAGTGCCATCTGCTGTACAACTCTGGAAAACAAACATGGGGAATTCTGACAGCGCCTAAAAGGATACATTTACTTATCTACTATCTGTTGATTGTTCCAGGCCCTGGGAAGTATGGTGGAATTTAATTTCCAGGTGTTTGATTTGTTTCTCGATGTCTTTGTGTGATTTGCTTCTATCTTGAGTGCATCGTGGTCTGAAAAGATTGTTGATACTACTTCTATCTTTCTGATTCTATTGAGGTATGTTCTGTGGCCTAGCATGTGGTCTATTTTGGAAAATGTTCCGTGTGTACTGGAGAAGAATGTGTATTCTTTCTTTGGGGTGTGTAAAGCCTTGTATAGGTCTATGAGCCCTCTCTCTTCTATTTCTTCCTTCAAAGCCAATGTTTCCTTGTTGAGTTTTGTTCTTGTTGATCTACTCAGAGGTGATAAGGCGATGTTGAAGTCCCCAGCTACTATTGTGTTGCTAGCAATGTCCTCCTTAAAATTTGTTAGCAGTTGTTGTAAGTTTTTAACTGTTCCCCTCATTAGGTGCGTATACATTTAAGAGTGTGATTTCTTCCTCCTGTACGTATCCCTTGATAAATAGAAAATGGCCTTCGCTGTCCCTTCTAATCTTTTTCAACCTGAAATTTATGTCGTCAGATACTAGTATGGCCACCCCAGCTTTTTTGAGGGAGCTGTTTGCTTGCAGAATTGTTTTCCATCCTTTGAGTCTTTGTTTGATCTGATTGTTCAGATGAGTTTCTTGTAGACAGCAGAATGTTGGTTTCAGTTTCTGGATCCATTTTGCCACTCTGTGTCTCTTGATTGGTGCATTTAGACTATTGACATTGAGATTATTGTCATGGGGTTTTGTGCCATCTTTCTGTAGGGGTTAGTTGTATTTATAAGTGTTTTATCATGGTCACGGTCCTCCCGTTGTTCATCGATTTGCTCGAGCGGGCCCAGTAACGTCTCTATCATGAGACTTGTTGTTACTGTGTTTGGCATATGGAGTACGTCACGGGTAGCATGCCAGGTTCTGCCCTGCGGGTGAGATACTCTCAGTAGCTTGCTGGGCTCTCCAAGAGGGGCGGAGGAATCGAACTCGAGTCGGCCATGTTGGCTGCGTGCAAGGCAAACGCCCTACCGCTGTGCTATCGCTCCAGCCCAAGTGTTTTATATGGTGGGATTTAAACAGTAGGTAAGAAGTTGATGGCTACAAAGTCCTGCATTTGAGGGCTTCATAGCCTAGTGAAAAGTGGAAAATATTTAAACATATATTTTGCCAGTGTATTTTGAGCCTCTGCACATATGTGTAAGATTTGGAAAGGAAGCATAGAAGGGGCACCCTCCCATAAAGATTTTGGATTTTTTTGGTTTGAAACCACACTTGGCTGTGCTAAGGTTACTTCGGGCTCTGTGCTCAGGGATCACTCCTGGTGGTGTTTGGTGAACTATATGAAGTGCTGTGGATTGAACTAGGGTCAAGTGCGTGCAAGGTAAGCACCTTACTTATTAGTTCTCTGGCCCAATTTTTTGGATTTTGTTTGTTTGGGGGCCAACCTCAGCTGTGCTCAGGGCTTACTCCTGCCTTTGAGCTCAGTAATCACTTTGTGGGCTCAAGGGACCATATAGGGTGCTGGGGATCAAGCCTGGGTCTGCAACGTGCAAGGCAAGTGCTCTACCCACTGTACTATCTATGTGGCCCCACTGGTCACTGGCCAAAAATTGTGAAGGATGGCTGAGTTTATCAGCAGAATAGAGGTAGAACTAATGGGTACCTTAGGCAAAGGGAGGCGTATAAGCAAAGACTCCCTCACAAAAAACTATTTCGTTGACAACACAGGGCCTTTTAATGGTTCATCATACTAAATATAGTTATGATGTATGAGGGAAATAAATTCGATTTAACATTCAGTACAAGGCGGGGAAATTCTCTTGAGCAGATCTGTTTGCCTATTAGTTATTTCTCTAAGCACAATTTTGAGCTAAATTGAGTACCTAAGTACAGTCAATCTATTGGCTTCAATAGTTGGCTAGTCCAGATGGGTCTTGACCGACACAACATTTTAGGTCTGGATTCTCTTCTAGATGGTTACTTTTCTATCAGGGGCTCCTATTTAACGAGCACGATGACTTTAAACAGGCATGACGCCTTTAGTAGGAGACACACACATTTTCCATCTTCTGCTCTCTCTCTCGCTCTCTCCCTCTCTCATTTTAAGGGATAAGTACAGACCACAGGTGAGAGATTCGTCTTTTCTGTATTCCTGCTAGCACCGCCACATTATGCATTGGATAAACGAAACAGGACATATAAACTCTTCGAGAAGTAGGCAGTGTGAACAGGCAGGTCCGAGGAGAGGAACGGTCTGGTGCTTGAGCCAGAGGGCCCTGAACCCGGGACTCTGGGGTCCCGCAAACGCTTCCATCACCCCATCAATCACCAGCATCCGTGCAAACTTGGCTCACAGCACCACTGAACCTCCCTTCTGCCAGTGTCTTCAGGGGAAAAAAAGCCAACCAAACAAAACTGGTCCTGCAAGCCACCAGGGCCCGATCTAGGCACTCCTCAAGAGCAGGGTGCAGCTACCTTCTACTGCAGCCAGGCGACGCAAGTCAGAGGTGGGTCTCTAAGCCCTCCCAGTCTCCAAACCCCGCGCCCAAAGAGAATAAGCCCGGAAAGTTCGCACTACTCACCGCCGGCGGAGGGAGGCAGGAGGCGGGCCTTCTCCAGAGGCGGAAGTCCCTTGACCAATCCAGAGAGCGCCGTTGAACTTTGCCCGACCAATAGGAAAGGGCAGAGGGCTTCTCGACCCGCCTCAAAAGGGGGCCGTTCCCTCCGGGAGAACGTCGCGAGATCTTCAGCCCCTGCGACTGATTGGTTGCAAGACGGAAATTGATAGTTTCCTCGAGTCGCTGATTGGTCTTCTTGGGAGAAGGCCGAGCGCGGCCACTAGCTCCCCGGATGCCTATTGGCGGGCGGCGCGGGACGGGGTGCGCGGGCGACAGCGCGGGTGTTCGAAACGGCGCGGGTCGGCGTTGTCATGGGGATGCGGCCTGGCTACGGCCTCTGGCTCGTGACAGCACGCTTCGAGCCCCTGCTTGGGGACTGGCCGCCGCCACCGGCCTTCTCTCCTGCCCTCCTAGGTCCGGACTGACCTCAAGGTCAGGACTTTGGGGGAACTTTGAGGTGAGAAAGGCGGTGCGGGGGGTGGGGTGGAGGGCCAGGCAGCCGGCGTCTGGGCTGCGGCGCCCGCCCCGGGGGAAGCGGCGGCGCCGGGCGCCCGCCGAGGACTCGGTCCCGCCGGCGGCGGCTCGAGAGCTGGTGCCTCGCCCGTTACCCGAACGTTCACCCGCCCTTCGATCCCGTGTCCCGATTTCTGTTTCCAGCGCTGCTCTTGGACGCCCGCTCTCGCAGGGAAGCGTTCGGAACCGTCTTGCGTTTGGGCCGGCGACCCTGGCAAATCGAGCGCGTTTATTCGGCCTCGGGTTATCCGTGTCCTCCCGTGGAACTCGGAGGTCAGCATCATTTTCAGCGACTTATGACCCGTTAAGAGTTTTCAGGAAATACGGGTTGAGTTTGACTACCCGATACCTCCCACCCCCACCCCCACCCACGCAAGAGGTAGGTTTAGGTCTCCATCTCATCCCTGTCTCCCTGTCCCAGTTTTTCCTTTCAGTGCAAAGGTTTTTTTTTTTTCTTTTTCTCCTTTCTTTCCTTTCGATGTTGTTGGACATGGAATGGAAAATTGGACGGGGCGTCCAGGTTTGGGTCCAGACTGGCCCGGTTCCTAACTTGTGCTGGGCTTTTGCAAGTCACTTGGCCCGTTTGTTTTAAATTTTTTATTAACGCGCCGTGTTTTGCCAAGTTGTTCATTATGCAGTTGTTTTAGGCACTCCGTGTTCCAGCACGGATCCCACCACCAACGTCCCCATCCACCACCCTAGGCTGCCCACCTTAGCAGGCGCGAAACAAATTTACTTAGAAGTGCTTGTTAAAACACAGAGGCAAATGGAATTATTAAAAAAAAAAAAGGTAGATCAATGAAAGTCAATTTATGATGATTGTTATATCTCATAATGGTGTAGCTAAAGCCATTGAGGATTTACTGGGCTGGTTGGTGCTAATTGAATCTTCTGTGTTACTGTTTTCACTCATCGAGCTTGGGGGCCCTCTATACAACTTGACCGGCACATTTACTGTGCTCCTACTGGGATGATAGTACTATGAAATTTGAAGGTGTTGGGAGGCCAGGAGCTATGGGGATGGAATGATTTGGTGGCTTGGCAATTTAATGAGGTTCAGCTGTGGAGCTGGATGCTATATGCTAGCGTGTTTTAGGTGTGGCTGTGGGCTGCTATGCCTTCAGACAGAAAGGGGGATTTGGCGGGCCCCATTTGAGAAGGTCCCAGAGTTTTCAGCCTGGACCAGTCTATCTGGGATCACTTAGCCCTTTTAAGCCTCACTTTCTTCATTTGGAAAATCAAAAGGCTGAATTCAGTTAGGATATCTGTGGCTCTGCAGCTGGAAGTACTTGCTGAGTATTCACCCTGTGCCAAGGACTTCATTAGGGCTTGATAAATAATCCTTTTAAAAATTATAGTATGTTTGGGCCTGGAGCAATAGCACAGCGGGTAGCATGTTTGCCTTGCACATGGCTGACCCAGGTTCGATTCCCAGCATCCCATATGGTCCCCCAAGCACCACCAGGAGTAATTCCTGAGTGCATGAGCCAGGAGTGACCCCTGTGCATTGCCGGGTGTGATCAAAAAAAAAAAAGCAAAAAATAAAATTATAGTATGTTAATGTGCCCCCTTTTTTGGTTTTTACTGTGGAGCTCCCCGTGGCGTATTCGATATGCCAAAAACAGTAACAACAAGTCTCACGATGGAGACGTTACTGGTGCTCACTCGAGCAAATCAGTGAACAATGGGAGGACAGTGGTGCAGTGCTACAGTGCTACCTTACTGTGCTCAGGATCATATGTGATGCTGTGTTATCAGACCTGGGTCACTGTGTGCAAGGCAAGCACTTCACCTGCTGTACTATCTCTCCCTGGAGCGATAGCACAGTAGGTAGGGCTTTTGCCTTGTATGCAGCTGACCAGGGTTCGATTCCTCCGCCCCTCTCAGAGAGCCCGGCAAGCTACCAAGAGAATCTTGCCCGCACGGCAAAGCCTGGCAAGCTACCTGTGACGTATTCGATATGCCAAAAACAGTAACAACAAGTCTCACTATTTGTTGTGAGACGTTACTGGTGCCCGCTTGAGCAAGTTGATGAATAACGGGAGAACAGTGCTACAGTGCTACTATCTCTCCAGCCCTGTTACTATTATTATTGTTGTTGTTGCTTTTTTTGGCTACATTACCAGTGCTCACTCAGAGCTTACTCCTGGCTCTGTGTTCTGGAAGGGCTGGAAGGGGGGCATATGGCTCTGAGGATCAAATTGGGGTCAGTTGCTTGCAAGTGCCTTAACCCCTGTACTTTCTCTCCTGTTTGCGAGTTTACTAAAAGATCTAAGGGATGCAAATAAACAGCTAGATGAAGAAATAAATAACGTGAGTGTGGGAGGCCCCAGGTGCCAGAGCTCTGTCCCCATAGAGTTGGTTCATCTCCTTCCCAGTGTGGATGTGTTTACCTCCCTAGGAGCACTCTGAACCACGTCACTTTAGAGTTTTTTTGTGGAGACCTCATCCTATAAGCAGCTTGAGTTAAAGATTCTATTTCCAGGTCCTTTCCCCTTGCTAGTGCTGTGTGGAAGGGGCTGAGAAGTTCAGGTTTCTAATTGGTCTTTCTGGTAACCAGCCCCTATCAGGAAATATTCAGAAACTTATCCATAATGGCTTTATTGTAACAAAACATGTTCCTGATGCTCTCATCACTTAGATATTGATAAGGTTTGTAGAATCTTGTGTCAGGGATCAAAGACCAAATATTAGAACAAATAATGTTCTCATTGTTTAGGAAAGTATAAGGTTTGTTGTTGTCGGTTGGTGTTTTTTTTTTGTTTTTTGGGTCACTCCTGGTGGTGCTCAGTGACTATTCCAAGCACAGAACTCGGTGGATCCGTGTAATGCCAAGTTCGAATCTGGCTGTCTGCTCGCAAAGCATGTGCACTAGCTTTTTGAGCTTTCTCCCCAGTTCCAAGATATTACAAATTTTTGGAGCTCTGTGCCAGGAACGCAAGGCAGAGATCAATAATGTTTTTCTATTATTTTAGAGCATTTCAGTGTTGAATGTTTATATATCAGAAACTGAATTGTACTTTTTTTTTACATTATCCCACTTAATCCTCATGAAGCATCTTTTTCAAGTCAGGAAAGTGTTTTTGCTGTTTAACTGCAGTTCTTTTTTTTGTGATGACACGGGGCTCCTAAGCAGTGATCAGAAGGCCACAGAGCCCTTCCAGTGATTTCTGGCCAGCTGGGCTGCACAGCAACGCTCAAAGGATCACGAGGTGGTACCAAGGACTGAAGCAGGGTCTTCTGTGTGCAAGGCATAACCAGCCCTGTTCTATCTCTCTCTGTAGCAACGTCTTAAAATTATCTACCTCCTTTCATTTTTGCCCGTGCCTTAGTAATCTATTCCTACAGAACAGGTTGAGTGATATTAAAAGACACATATTAGGGACCAGAGCAATAGAACAGTAGATAGGGCATACTCTGTCTGCTGCCACCCTATATGGTCCCCCGAGTTGCCTAGGAGTGATCCCTGAACGCAGAGTAAGCCTTGAGCATTTTTTTTTTTACTTTTTTTTTTGGGTCACACCCGGTGATGCATTCAGGAATTACTCCTGGTGGTGCTCGGGGGACCATTTGGAATATTGGGAATCGAACCCAGATTGGTCATGTGCAAGGCAAACACCCTGCCCGCTGTGCTATCAGTCCAGCCCCCAGCCTTGAGCATTTCTAATGTGGCCCAAAGCCAAAGACAAAGAAATATACATATCAAATCATGTCCATGCCCCACTTTGAATCCTATAGTGACTTCCTTTTTCTTTTTCTTTTTTTTTTTCGGTGGTGGGGCACACTCTATGGTTTGCATGTGGCACGAGGCTTGAACATTTGAGGCTTCTAATCTAATAATGTCCCTTGCTTCTCGCCTAAAAAGAAAAAAAATTGTAAAGCTTTTGATTTTTTATTTCCTGCTTTTTTTTTGTTTAAATTTACTTGACATTGTTCTCATGTCTTTAAGACAGTCACAGCTATTTTCTGCTTCTCACACTGAACCATACTTGGACTGGAGAGATGTATCAGTTGGCTTGAGCACAGATTTTGTATTGTGAGGTCAGGTTCAGTCCCTGGCTCAGCATGGTCCCCTGAGCACCACCAGGAGCAACCCCAGACACAGAGCAAGGAGTACCTCCTGCATCACTGAGTGTGCCTCCACCCCTGCCAAGAGAAAAAGCACACATGTTTGATCCTATGTTTAGTATACCATATGGACCTACCATAGCCCCTTCTGTCCTATCCCTGTCTTTTCTGTTCTTCGATCTGTGGTATATGGACTGGCAGAAATCACATACCCCTCGCCTGCCAAACATGTAGTAGTTAAGGGTGGCAGATGTCACAGTAGCCAAAAATGATAAATTTTAAAACACTGGATTAAGTCAATAAATTACCATTAATTAATAAAGCAATTAAATTAATAAATTACCATCTTCTTTGGTTTTTGTTTCTGTCTTAACTGTTAGCTATTCTATGAAACAATTCTATTCTCCCCA